TGTTTAAAGGATGGAATTGGGAAAGACGAAAGAAGCGATCATTTCTCCATCTTGTGGTCTCATACCTCTTTGTTATTTTCTCTTCTTTCAAGTAGATGTGTTTTTATTTTCAAATATCTCTCAATTTTCCTACCCAGGCAGGGAACTGGGTATAGAAATGTTACTTGCAATCCTTTTCCACACTGTAGTCTATAGATGCTATCCTTCTGGTTTTACAGAAGTCCAAGGCAGTCTATTCTATTTCTGTCAGGAATCACATAGGGGTTTCTTTTTTCCTTAGAATTCAGGAAATTTTGCTAGGTTATGCCTTAATTTTCACCAATCTAGTCTGGTTGAAAAATTCCATTCCAATTCTTCTTTATATGATGATGCACTTGGGCTACTTCACTGTTGCTAACAAAACCTGCTGGAGATAAACAACTCAGCTGTCCAGACCTATGTCATCACAGACTCACAGTTTCCAGCTATGGTCCCAGCCTGTGCCAATTGGCAATTCTTTTACATAACCATAATAAATCACTCTGTTCCCTTTTGCTAAAAGACACTACTCTCTTTAACACTACTGCTTATAGTTAAAACCATCTAGGCTCAAATGACTAGTTGTCATACTGCACTTAATAATTTTGTGATCTTAGATTAATTAAACATACTACTTCACTTCTTTGATTGAGAAGTAGTGAAACTATCTTCCTCATAAATCTGGAGGATGAAATTAGATGAGGTACTGCCTTTTTTTTTTTTTTTAAAGATTTATTTATTTATTCGTACAGAACTGGGGTACAGGCCAGAGATGCGGAGGGTGAGAGGATTCACCAGGGACAGAGTGGGGCACAGAACTGGCAGATCGACGAAGTACACTGCTGAGGGGAGCAGCGGGTGGGTCAGGAGAGGTCTGCCTCGCCATGTGGGCAGATCTCCTCCGGGGCAGGCGGGAATTGAACTCATGCGGAAGTGGCTTAAGCTTCTTTGTGCTGTGCTTTAACCCGCTGCGCCACCAGGGAGGGCCGCTTTTTTTTTAAAAAAGAAAACTCTTAATAATGTTTACAACAGAACACTGAATAAATGCTAGTCTGTATAATTTTCAATAATAAGTTTAGTAGAGTATAGCTTGAACTTGTATTTCCCAAGGTCAAACTTGTTGATATCAAATATTTCCTTACATTACTGTAACCCTAAGTAAAAGCTAACAGTAATTTTCAACATGGGACCACTGTACCATTGTTTTTGAAGAGAACTCAATTCTAATGCAGTTTCCCAAACTCTAAGGTACATTGCTATTTATCTTTCATTGGAAGGCAGACAATATTTACAATGGAACAAAGGATATATTTAGATAGTATTAAATAATAAAATTCAACTATCTTTAAAGATTGACTTGGCTTATTAAACTATTCATGGATCATGCAGCACCCACTTTACCAAGCAACAAGGAACTCTAAAGAGCAGTGTAAAATGGAAGGCTTTTGAAAACACGAAAAGGGAATGTTTCAGAATACACATCTCCTTCCAGTGGGGGACAGGTAAGTTACCTCATTAATGCTGGTTAGGAAATCCCAGTTTTTCCAACTAGAGGTTACATTTCGAGAGATGCTGAAACTATAGTTAGGTTAGGTGTAAGTCTTGGTAAACTGACATGGAGCTTGGCATAACAGACTCCATTTGGGACTGATTTTATATTATGACGAAACTGAAGTCAAGGAATTTTAAGTCTAGTAAGCTTGCACTTTTCTATAAATCCCCACACCAAAATATGTTTGACATTCTAAACTCTGATTAAAAAATGAAATTCAAATTCATAAAAATGAAACAAAACTTAAGCTAGACTAGCACATTAAGGGTATGTTAGCAATTTGCTTTAAAAGAAAGTGACTTTATACTACAAAGTTCATCTGACAATGTTATTTTTCATTACTTGAAGTAGAAGAGTGTTTAAAGGATGGAATTGGGAAAGACGAAAGAAGGGATAAATGATCATAATCAAACCATTTCAAACCTAAGACTCATTGTAGTGCAA